ATATACAGAATTAAAAAAAAAAAAATCACTAGTGGTTTTTTGGATAGCATGGAAGGACAAAAATGATATAAAGTACACCAAAAAAACTTTATGGACATTGCCAAAAATCTTCTAAAATACAGGAGATTTAGAATCTTTTTTTTTTTTTTAAGATTTATTTATTTATTTATTTGACAGAGAGGGACACACAGCGAGAGAGGGAACACAAGCAGGGGGAGTGGGAGAGGGAGAAGCAGGCTTCCTGTGGACCCTGACTTCCTGAGGACCCTGGGATCATGACCTGAGCCAAAGGCAGATGCTTAACGACTGAGCCACCCAGGCGCCCCTACAGGAGCTTTATCGAGTCAAATAAAACCCTTATTTTTTTTCTTATGTATCTGACGTTTTCTATTTTTTTTTTTTTCCCCAAAGAAGGGATTCTTTCTGTGCCTGAAAGATGGAATATTCTCAATCAGGCTATCAAATCCCACTGGAATATTGTAATTCCCTGCTTCATGTCTCCAAATACTTTGTTTTTCCAATATTTAAATTACTCTTAAGGAGAAAAGCAAATACTTAACAACAATGACAAAAAGGGTAACAGGGAGGTGTGGGCAACCTTCCCTAAAGGCTAGGACAATGGAGGGCTTAACAACAGAATGGACTGCAAATAGCCTACAGGTACAAGCTAAAGACTGATTGATAGGCCAATGTCCAATCATCCAACCAAGTACTTAATTTTCTTGGGCCTGTTTTAAGTACCTATAAATATAAGTGTTCTATAGAATACATATTAAGAACATCAACAGTTAAAATTGTTAGTTATAGTGCTTGAAAAAGACTTCAGGGGCTAAGGAGACAGAACCAATATATAGGTTCTACGCAAGCATTTGTGTGGATGAACATGTGGAAAATGAAAGTAGAAATATCCAGTTCTCCTGTAATTACCACAAGTGAAATTTTGAGCACTATACAATGTAGTCATGTGCAAGTTTGAAGTTCTATATGGAAGAGGAAATTTTTTCTTTATTACATAACATTTCACCCTAAGATCAAAAAAGGCAGTATCTTTCACTCTAGACATTCAGAAGAAATTCCCTTTTTTATGTGTTGGCAAATACACAGAGTAGTATTTAAATACTTCCACAAACCTGGGTTCAAATTCTATTTCTAGGCAACTCACTCAGCCTTTCTGAGTCTCCGTTTTCTCATCTGTAACATGGAAACACTAACATCTCACTCATCTAACTGTTGTAAAGATTAAGAAGCCACACCTATGGAAAAGAATATCAAAATTTAAGTCCTGGCTAAAGGGCCAACACAATAGATATAAAATAATCTGAGTCTGAGACAGACAGCCCAATGTAAAATGTACAGACTTCCTGACTGCAAAAAAAATTTTTTTTTAAAGTTCTATAATGTGGGGCGCCTGGGTAGCTCAGTCGTTAAGCGCCTGCCTTCGGCTCAGGTCATGGTCCCAGAGTCCTGGGATCGAGCCCCACATCGGGCTCCCTGCTCAGCAGGGAGCCTGCTTCTCCCTCTCCCACTCCCCCTGCTTGTGTTCCCTCTCTCGCTGTATCTCTCTCTGTCAAATAAATAAAAAATCTTTAAAAAAAAAAAAATAAAGTTCTATAATGTAAAATGATTATAGAATTGTCTTAACAGTGAGCCCAAACATTTCCTCTAAGCCAGTATATGATACAAATACATTTTGAAGTGATGGCTTGAGATAAAAAATAATAGTATAGATTGATTATATTTGAACATCATGCTTATTTAATTTAACGATTTCACATTTAAGCCCTTAACACAGTGTCTGGCACATAGGTACTCAATAAATGACATTATTTATTAAGTTACTAATCGTGATGCGGATGGCACTAATGAAGGTGGTTTATACATCTCTGAACAAAGACAAATGCCAGGCCAGGAGACAGTTTCTTTCACAAAAACACTAAGTTTGGCATATCACCCCTTTGCTGTGCAGGATTCAAACTTGTGTTCCCGCAAAAGTACTAATAATTCTCAGACCATCAAGCTTCTCAAGAATAGATGGAACCGTGCTTGTCCGATTTATAAATGCCAAAGGTCTGCTGTGTTGTAGATAGAGTACAGTGCCACAGGACCTTAAAGGGCTTGGGAAAGTCTTTTTCCAGTCCCGGAGCTCCAAGGGGAACCGATGGTGGGCAATGCAAGTAGAGGGTGTAATGAAGTAAGAGTGGGTAGGGGCAGGACAGGCAGCGGAGCCTCGTGCAGCCTGCCTAAGAATGTTTATAAGCAAGTTCTAAGGAACCTGGATAAGTGGCTTAAATATTGCCAATGCCTGTCATATCCGGGTGGGCTTTACAAGATCCCCCCTCCTTATAAACCCTTGAGCTTCAAAGAGCACTTTGGCTAATCTTGGGCACTGTTGTGAGAAATGAGACCTCATGTGCCAAGTATTTATGAGTACATGGGATACAATAAGCCCTCAGAAACGGTTAAAATAACTATTATAACTATATAACATTCAATATCATTATCATTATTGTTTAGGTGAGAAGTTTAACCTCCCTAAGCCTTACCTTAGTTTTATCATCTGTAACTTGGAGCTTAGTACAGCAACCTCACCACTTTGTCATGAAAATTGAAGAGATAATCTATGTAAATCTCTTAGCTGATGCTTTGCAAAGGGTACACAGGATTGAGAGAACAGTGATGTACCTTGCCTAAGGACACACATAAAATAAATAGTAGGGATACTATTTCACCTAAGTCTGTCTGACCCGAGAGCCTGTGTCCTTAATTACAATGCTATATTGCTTCTTGCTTATTTTCAAGAAAAAACCACAATAATTAATTGCAAAGGTCCAGAAAGGGCCCCTTTTTCTTTTTTCTTTTTGTTATGTTAATCACCATACATTACATCATAAGTTTCTGATGTAGTATTCCATGATTCATTGTTTGTGTATAACACCCAGTGCTCCAAGCAGTACGTGAAGAAAGGACCCCTTTTAAGGGCAGAAACAGAAAGCCACATTAATATGGCATTAACAAGAAAGCCTGATTGACCTAATGTAGTTCCAAAGTAGTACTGGAGGTGCCCTCCAGTGTGTCAAAAATACTGGGCCAACAGCAGCACGGTGCCATGAAAAATGTGCTTTGCTAAGAGTCAGGAGGGCACCTGCTTCTCCTCCCTCTCCCGCTCCCCCTGCTTGTGTTCCCTCTCTCGCTGTGTCTCTCTCTGTCAAATAAATCAATAAAATCTTTGGAAAAAAAAAAAAAAGAGTCAGGAGGGCAGAAATGGCTCTGAACTATCTCTGTAATGGTAGGGGTATCTTTGTGCTAAGCCCAACTCACTTTCCAGTCTATTCTGATTTTGAACCACAGCTTGAGAGGAATTGTTCAGGATTAAAAGGAGAAACTAAAAACTACTGTGACCCAAAGGTCACAGTAAAAGAGGTCTGGACCCGCATTATTACTAAACCCTAACTAAATGGAACCACCGCTGAAAGGAACAGTGATATCTACTTTTGAGATCTGTAAGGAACAAATGTAATATTAACCACAAGTCAGCCATTGCCGCTCTGTCCTTTATAGATCTAGAAGAGCCTGGTAAATCTTCCCAATTCCAGAGGATAAAAATCTAGCATTCTCTCTCTGTTGTGTTTCCCAAAACTCCAATGAGCCTCTGACTTCTGCTTCTGGCTTTTGTATCTCACGTGCTGTCTCTGACCCCAGATCAACAGTCCCACAACACACACGGGATAGTTTTGTCCATGCAAGCATTTATGAATGTAGTCATACGAACATTTTGGTGCCATGACAAGCCCAGTTTTCTACCATCTTGACGGCTGTAGCCCCCACCCAACCCCTGCTCCAGAACAAGGCAAACACACCACCACCTTGATTTTTGCATAGGAGCTTACAGATCACCTTTCAGAGCCCTCAATGGCTCCACTTATACTCTTAAGTAGTCTGTCCAAATATTTCTTCAAATCCAGAGAATTCATATCTGTACAGTATGACCCTGCCTCCTACCATCACTCATCCTGGTCACAGAGAGGACGTATGTTGCAATCAATTTTACTAAGAATTTGGCCCTAGGACTCCTAAACTCAAGTGAGTCTCTCTTGGGCATCTGAATTGCTCAGGGGTGAAAAGCCAGGTCCGGAGAATCCCTTTTCCAATGCCTGTGATTGCAGGGAAAGCCAGTATGCAGAGAGGGAGAATAATGAGGGCTTTTGGGGGAGCCAAGAGAAAGCAAATCTCAGCCCCACTGGAGACCAAGAGAGTGAAGATGCTGGTTTGTTGCTGACAGGTTTCCTAAATATAGCTCTCATGAGGTCCAGGACTTAAAACTTCCTCTCTCTTGCCCTTGGGTTCCTTGAAAGATATACTTTGCATCACTTCCCCTTTTTTCACTGAAGTTAGTCTGAATGGGTTTATGCTTTTTGCACCCCCAAAGACCTTTGTCTAAGTCCCACTTTAGAAAAAAAAGAGGTTGGCCATAAAAACCCTTATGACTCAAGTACTTTGGTGAGAGAGATGTTGGCCAAACTTGCTTTCTCAGATGGTTCTGATGCAGGGAGCTCTTGACCGAGAAGCTCAACTTCTAAGAAGACATCTCAGCTTCATGCCAGGAATTCCCTGAAGAGGGATGGACACTGAAGGCCTAGCTACAATGAGGTGAGGTCTTGTGAGCAGTACCTGACCACTAAGAACCCCCCTCAGCACCTGTAGGTACTTTCTCCTCCACAGCATAAATGTCACCAGCTCTAAGAGCTCATCTTGTCTAATCACTGTCCTGTTGGGACATGGTAAATGGGAACCTTGTCCAAAAGGCATTTGAGCACTAGATTCAGATTTCCAGGACCCCACACGTTGCTGTGGGAGGACCGGGGAAGGCTATTTCTCCTGGAACATGACCTCCTCTCTGCTATTCCAAGCACACAAGCCAAGGCCTGAGATGTCAGAGCTCAGCCAATGTCAAGGGTGAGCAGAAACCAGCATCGGGGCTTTGAGCACCTGTATCACTTGCCCTAAAGCAACTGCAAATTGGAAGGGTTGACGTCTTTAAAGTTGCACCAGAAATAAAAAGCCAACACACCACCAGTCTCCATCTTGAGCCTAGGCCGACCACATGAAGAGTCTTCTCCAGTAAGCCCACAGAAGTTCTCAGATTTCTTTTCAGCATGTTGCTCCAGGCTTTCGCTTGCAGCCAACTGAGTTGCTATGAGCAATAAAACTTGTCTTCCCTGGCCTATTGTAAAAAGTGTTCAACTGGGAATTAGAAGACCAGATCTAGAAACACTAGTTATCTGTACGGTGATGCTGGCCCGTCTCCCCTCATTGGCCTCTTCTGTAAAAGAAATGACTCAGGGACCAGTTTGTCCCTAAGATTACTTTGAGCTCTAAGCTCCTATGATCCTAATGGTGGGAAGGTAAACTTCAAATAATAGGTTTAGAGGGTGTAGAAAAGTTTAAACATAGAAAACCTAGAGGGCGTAGGAAAGTTTAAACATAGAAAACCTATGTCCAGTGTTGAAGAGACTCCAAAACAAGTACAATGAGTGGAGGAATACAAAAGAAAGCAGAATCGTTGACCAGGAATAAAGAACTTAAAGTCTGTTCACTAGGGTAAGTTGGTCCAAGGGTTATAGGGAAGCAGAAGGAGGAACTTGCATGCCCAAGGTCAGACAGCAGGTCCAAGACAACTGGGCACGGGGAGGAGAGGTCTCATTGGGAGTGGGGGTGACAGTGAGATTTGAACACGCTGACAAAGGCCTTGCAGTAAAGAGACCAGATTAAGACTGATTTCTGCAAAGCCTGGGAATCCAGGGGAGATACCAGGAAAGAAACAATAGTTTCATATCTCTAATTGTCTTTCAATTCTTGTGTGGGAAACATAAACAGATGTCCAGTCTTACTTTTACATACTCAGAGCCTGATTGTCTCTGTTCTGTACTGTGCCGATTGCCTGCAAAGTGGTCTCTTTCCCCCAGCTTGCCCCCATCCTCTGCAGTGAAGCTGAAGGAATGACTGTAGATTGCACCATGAACTCTACCTTCTTGCTTGAAACCCCTTCATTCCCTCCTCCTCACCTCTGGCATGACACTCAGGGCCCTTCTGAATAAGCAAATCACCCCACTCCCTTCTAAGAAGCTCACAGAGTCTTCCAACCCATGGTCTCCTTCCCAGGGATCATGTTTCAAGTTCAGGTTTTATGCCAATGCAAGTCTAGTTCTGTGTGTACAGCTACTCGGCCTGAGGAAGGGAGCCTACCCCAAAACAGCAGGGCAAAAGCCATGAACTTAACGTTCTAGAAGGGTCCATTCACTGTAGGAGATCATGTCTTTGGGGGAATTTGAAAGTGAGATGAAGAGAGAGAGGAGGAGACAACGTGCTAATGCCAAGGCACAAAAGCAAGAGTTTGAAGCCATGAGGCAGAAGCCAAGAGTAGGAGAAGCCAGGGGGCAGAGAGAAATGATCTCTAAGCGGGAGTAGACACAGTTGAGCTGGGATTGGCGGTGGAGCTTGGAATTAGGGAGCAGTGCGTATCTGTGTCCAAGGGAACACCTAGGAGGGTTGCTCTTGAGATCCCAGTATGACAATCTCTTGTCTCTCTTCCTAATGGATCCTTAAAACAATCTCCCATTAACTAAAGTAATATGAATAAATCTCAGCTCCTCACAAACTAAAAAAAAAAAAACAAAACTCATAAAGACAGCTTAACCAACAGGACAACAGATGCTTGCCTCCAGTTTCAATGCTATCTCCCGCTTTAAAAGGCTATGCTCAAAGTTAGACTCTTCTCCAAAAGTTTCTTTTTCAGTAAATTATCTGGGAAAGGCATATGGGCCGAAAATACACAGCTTGGGCATATTGAAAAATGATCGGGACATAGGAATAAAATCTGAATCATGAAAGAACGGCAGCAATGATTTGTCAAATGGCAACATTAAAGGGTGGGGGGGCGGCATAGGTGTTATAGTCAGGATTGCAAGAGGGTAGGTAGCTGAGCCAGAGAGACGGGTGTACGATCAAGATTAAAAAACTGTGAATACTATTCATCTTCAGTTTTGCTGACAGAATGAATATATTTGAAAAGACAGTTCTGGTTGCCTGTCTCTGATTATGGAAACTTTTAGTGGCTTGGTAGCAGGACAAACAATAGCGGATGGCTATTTTCAAAGTGATTTAAGGAGGAATATTAAGAAGGTTAAAAAGCAGATAATGGTCAAAAGGAGAGAAGAGACAGGATAGGAAGACTGAGGGAGAGCTTCCTCAAAGCCCTCGGGGGTAAGGAATTGGGGTGGGAGTGGGAGAACCAAGGGCAACACTAGGCCTGGGCTGACCTAGTTGTGGCCGAGACAGGGATTAGTCACTTGCAAGTAGTTTGCTAAGTGGCCACCTGAGGGCACTGTATTCTCTGCACTCAGAAATCCATTTTTTTTCCCCCATCATGTACATTATCCTCAATTTGCTAAAGGATGAACTTAATATCCTAAAGAAGGGTGCCCATGGAAAATGGGGGCCCACGACAGTCCTTTCTGCTTGTCTTTGTTCTTTTACTAGATTAATGTATGAGCAAGACTGACCTTAATTGAAATCCTTGGGTAACTGTAAGGATGAATTAAAATAACCTCATTTAAATCTACTTAGTATTTAGTAGAATGTCAATAAAGGGGCACCTGGGTGGCTCAGTTGGTTAAGCGACTGCCTTCGGCTCAGGTCATGATCCTGGAGTCCCTGGATCGAGTCCCACATCGGGCTCCCTGCTCAGCAGGGAGTCTGCTCCTCCCTCTGACCCTCTTCCCTCTTGTGCTGTCTCTCATTCTCTCTCTCAAATAAATAAATAAAAAAAATCTTTAAAAAAAAAAAAAATATTAGCTCCTTCTCATACACATACGTATACAAACATACAAATGTGCCAAATACAGGAACAAGAGAAGGAACATAAGGAGGAATTACACGAGCCCTTTATCTCTCTAAAGGCGGCAGGACTCAGAAGTCCCACAATGAATGTGCAGCTGTGCTAGGAAATCATTGCAGAGAGCAAATTTATGCTGCTCTTTTCATTACATGTTGCAGCTTGTACATAATAGCCAGAGGGAATAGAACACAAACAGCTGGGAAATAAAGATGAAAGCAAAACCGTATCAGCAGGGAGAGACACAGAACCCCCTGAGAACTCGGCAGTGTCATGAAAGGTAATTTGAACAAGGTCACCTGCATGGAATTCCTCTTCTCTGAGAAAGATCGTTAGACTCCTGCCCATTTCTGACCATCTCCAGCAGAGTCAAGGTGGGGAATGGGATAAATGGTCCCTAGCTTGCAAATTTCTACACTAAATTCTTGTCTATATAATTACATAGAGATGCAGATAAAAGCATGCCTTATTATAAAGATCCAAAACATTATTCGCTGGCTGAAAACAAAGAAATTCTGCTTCAGCACAAGGAGAGCCTGCTGAGGTTCCCCCACAACCTCAGGATTGTAAGGCAGGTTTTGTGGCCTGATGCTGCCCTCTAGTGTCTTTTTATGGTATGGTAACATGAGGAATTAAAAAAATAATAATCCTGAAGCAACCAATGTCTCTTGACCCAGGCCTGATAAAGCAAAAAAAATAAAAAATTCTAAAATAAAAGTAAAACCAGGATTTGTACTAAATTCAAACGTGACTTAAATTTTGCTTCAACATGGACACTGCATCCTTTCAGGGTTCTGAAACACAAATGGCATCTAGATTAGTGAGTACTCTTCAAAAATACAGACACCTGCCATTTCCAGCACATTACTGTCAAATGATTACTGCTTCAGTCTGTCTGAGGTAGGATCCAGAAACTTGCATTTCATCAACCCCACCACATGACTCTGAAGTGGTAAAGTTGGCTGACCTCACTTTGAGAAGAACTTTGTGGCAGAGACTTTGAGTAGAGTGTAAAGTAAATAGGATAATTTTCCTTTAATTCTTTAAGGGCAAAATATACATGAAATAAAACCATCAACCAAAATAGGTCACCTTTCATTTTTCCCACATTTAGAGTGTCTGAATTCTACATGACTAGCATGCTAAGAAAACAATACTGTTCAATTCAAAGTGAAGAGTTCCTGTAGATGCTCTCCTACACCAATTAGCCCTCCCTAATTCCAGTGGGCATCCAGGTGGGAAGGAGAAAATGCCTGGTTGTTTTACTCATCCTTCTGAAATCCTTTAAACATACCTTCCTCTAAAACTCTTCCTGGGGGTGCCTGGGTAGCTCAGTCATTAAGCGTCTGCCTTAGGCTCAGGTCATGATCCCAGGGTCCTGGGATTGAGCCCCATCGGGCTCCCCGCTCCACGGGAAGCCTGCTTCCCCCCCTCCCACTCTCCCTGCTTGTGTTCCCTCTCTCCCTGTGTCTCTGTCAATAAAATCTTTAAAATAAATAAATAAATAAAACTCTTCCTGATGCCACCAGATTCGTTTAAATGCCCTGATTTGGCTCCAGGGAGTCCGGTTCTTCTCTGTCCTGCAAATGCCCCAAGTCAATCTGCTCCATGGGACGGAAAGCTTCTCATGACAGGAACTCTTTCTTCCTTTTCAAACATGCACTCTCCGGGGAGCCTGGGTGGCTCAGCTGGTTAAGCCTTCCTGTCCCAGGATCAGTCCTGCATTGGGCTCCCTGCTCAGCAGGGAGTCTGCTTCTTCCTCTGACCCTCCTGCTCTTGTGCACTCTCTCTCTCTCTCTCTCTCTCTCGAATAATTTTTTTTTTTTTTAAAGAAATGCACTCTCCACTCTTTGCACAGAGTAAATACTCCTTATCTGGCCAATGCCTCTCACCACACACACCAAAAGTTGTTAATGATGGAAGCTAGGCTATGTGTTGCCACATGACCATGCTCTCTTCTTAAGCTCCTTCTAGTCGGTGGCACACACGGCAAGTGCGCTTCTTTGGGGTGATCGTTGCCATTGGATCACACATTTAATTTATAAGCCCACGGCTTTGGCTTTTAATTTTTAAGTTTTAATTTTAGGAACTTGCTTCCACTTTTTGGCATAGTCTGATAAATTTGTAAACACATAGGAACTTTACGAGGTACAGGGGGATAGTCATTAGTATAGAATCTCTATTCCCCTGGGAAATTCACTTCAAATTTAAATAGTGGTTTGTTTGTTTTTTTTAAATACAGATGCACTCAGTCAGAAGTCATGCTTAGTATCTTAATATTACATAAAATGCAATTTTTAACTCATAGTTTTAGTTTTTGCATCATGGATAAAGCCTTTTTACACTCAAAATCATGAAATACTCAAATGTTTTAATTAAAAATCAGCTCTGAGGGTGATGCAGATTGGTAAAAGTCCCCTCCATCACCAGAAAGAAAGCTATACCATGACCTCCTATTACCCTCACTTCTATTTTTTAATTGAACAATAAGCAAATATTTACCTCAGGAGACAGTGTCCTAATTGTCCAATGAGATAGAACCCAGTGCCTTGCACTACTTCGCTATACCCTCACTGTGAATGTAGGTTTGTGCAGGTCACGTACTTCCACCAACCAGGAACTGCTTCTTTCCCAGCCACTTCAGTGTCCCACACAGTGTCCAGTGTCCAGGGACACTCATTTAGGCTTACTGAGGTCTCCCCCTCCACAAACAGGACACCATCTTGCTTTAGCTTTGGTGGCTGGCATGGCCAGGACACCGAATGTTTGCTACAATCTCTCCCTTTCGCTTGACAATTACCACCTGAACCCCCTGTGCAAAACAGGGGTACTCACAAAATAGGAAAATACGGAAAATGCACTCCATTCATTTCAGTCAGGGAGAAGAAAGAGAAAGGGCTTTCGCCTTAAACAGCATTTCCTTTGAATTTCATTTTCCCTCCTGAGCTAAGCTATTAGCTGTGTGGACACAAACAGGATCGCTTTGAAGTTAACAAGAGGCCCACTCTGAAAGAAGGAAGACAGGCATTATCATACATTTTATGTGTTGGACACATATAGTCCTGGGATTGTAAATATATTCTGCAGTTACAGGACGTGAAACACTTTTCTTTCTTCTTTCACCTGATTTAGAAAAAGCATTTTTCTCTAGAAAGAGTTCTGTTGAATTTTCTCTTTCCATTTCTCTAACTTCCCCATGCATTTACCTTTTGAATCAAAGGAAAAGATCCCATCAATATAAATCAACAGCTCTTATCAAGCAAAAATGTGAGCACAATGATCCCCTCAGGGCACTGGGATGCATCAGGGTAGAGAAGCAATGGAGGGGGGCCTGTGTCAGAACGGGGCGGGGGGGCGGGGGGAGCTTGTATTCACTGTGGCAGGTGTTTTATTCCTGGGCAAACCACTCAAAGCTCAGACTTCCTCCATTCGTAATAAAATACTGATAAAACCTCGTCCAATGCTTATTGCCATGTTAAATGAGATGGGATATATGGATATGTTCTTAGTCAATCACAAAGGCCCATTCAAATAGAAACTTCTGTTATTATCTCCCGTTATTGACATGTTTTCTAAGCATTTGTCTTGCTCACTTGAGAAATCAATAGGGAAGGAAAAAGTCTGTTAAACTTTCTTAGCAGCTGGTGATGGAAGCATTCCGACGTGTGTGTGTGTGTGTGTGTGTGTGTGTGTGTGTGTGTGTGTGGTCGGGGGCGCGGCGAATTCACTGCTGGAGACACAAGGTTATAGGCCAGGCTCAGACCCCTATAGGTCAGAGGCTCTGTAAGTATCCGGAAAACCTCACTAAGGAAAAAAAACTAGTAAGCTCTAGAAGAAACTCCTTAGGTATCTAGTTATCTTGACCCCAAATCGATTAAAAACTGTAGGGACTAAAGAAACTTGCAAACAACTTACTCGTCTTTATACTATCAAGACTAAGAACATGTTTTCTCTTTAAATTTTAATCATGCATGCATTCTAGGAGGTTGCATTTTTTGAGCTATTAAAAATACATATGTTTCTGCCACATTATAGGGGAAGAGAGGCTTGTGTGTTGTATTATTAATCATGTGTTGGAAATGAAATTCTGGTCAGTCTTTGCAAACAGTATATACACACGCTCCAAAACAAAGGATCTGCCATGTGAGTGGAGCCCATGTGTGTTGGTGCCTGTTACTCTGATGCAGTGTGCACTTACTTTTGAGGTCCAAGTTCCTGGCTCCCGCGGTGATTTGTGTTGTGATTTTTGTGTCGATCTTGACAGTGTGGAGATTGCTGGTGTCCCTTGATATCATCACATTGTGCCACTGATTGTCATTGAGAGGTTTATTTGAGCTCCCTTTGATGAGGTTAGCACCATTTCCCAAATCAAACACGTAATGTAAGTACCTGGGAAGAAAGCAAAGGTTGAGAAAGTGCCATCACTTTTTGAATTTTTGATGGGAGTCCAACAAGATATTACAAATGGAGATCTTTTTTTCATGTGGTTCAGTCCTTGCTAGAAGTCGGAGAGTGAGTTGTACAGAGGCTCACTTAACAAGAAAGAAACAATACGATTTCATCCAGGAGGATTACTCATTGTCTGCGTTACAGTAAATTGTGAAAATTATTTTTAACATCATGGCCTAGAACCCACTTTATTGGAAGGTCACCTTTCACTACTCATTCCCTATTTCCACCACACCCTTCATCTTTTGCCAGTTTCTTGTACCTGCTCTCCTTTGGTCTTGAATGCCTGTTTCTTATATTGGAAATGTGCTCTCAGCCTTCAAGACTCAGCTCTGATACCCACTCCCTGCCTCATACATTTTCCTTATTTCCCTAAAGACTCTCCTGAACCTTTGCACATGATCATCTGAGGCAACTTTTCATAAGGCTTTTCTGTTATATTTATGTGTTCACCTGTTTTAGTGCCTGGTACATTCTCTAGCCCACTGCAGCTATGCTATGATATTGGCTGATTGAATGAATGAGTACCCAAATCAATTAAAAGACATCACATTTTCCTCACTGTTTCAATGAAATTTTACAAAAAATCTTTCCTTCTAAATTCTTCAAGGAATTCTGACACAGAATTAAGTTTGAGTTAATGGGATTTTGTGGAAGTAATCTGATTACTTAATATTAGATAATTAGCATGCATTTCTATACATTTGTAGAAACTCTTTTGTAGAATTATAGTGTGCATAGTAAGGAAACCCACATTTGAAGTGTACGATTCATGGAAGGCTTATCATTATTACAACTCGGTATTATTTGTACCTTGTACATGAAAATGTAGGTATAGAAGACTCTACTGATTTCCTATTAACTTTTAAGATATCTTCATAAGACAAGACGTGATCTGAGCAAATAGATTATTTAAGCCATTCCCCCACACCCCTGCCCACTACCTTAGAAGCCAACACATCTGTTTAATGTCTATTTTTGGATATCGAAGTCCATTTTGCAAATTTTTATTTATTTGTCATTGAACTGACATATACTCACCCTTTAACTAATTCAACCACAATAAAGTCATTTCCATCCCCACTATTATATAGAATTAGTCCATCTAGGGATGTTGTCTTGAACTGGAAAAAAAGATGCATAGAAGTGTAGGCTTGCAGTGTAGCTAAGGCAACATAGCTCGATTTGGTCTTGAAGGTGACAGGGTCTGCTATGATGTTCCTGAAGCCAAACCTGGCATTGAGCTCGCAGTAATCTATGTCACCATTTTTACACAAGTCAATGTATGCCATTCCATTAAATGTCAGGCTCTGCAGGTGTCCAATGAAGTTGGAGGGGACAGAAGACAGATACCGGCGTTCCGTGATGATGCCAGTCTCTATGTTATGAAACTCCAGCCTTGTGTGATCGCCTGCCATTTGCCCTGAAAGGCAAGATAATGTATTATTATTATTTTTTTGTATCTGAAAGAAACGTCCAACTTTAGACTTCCATGACAGTATCACATTTTAAAATACAAGGATTCAAATACCCTTTGACATTCAGTTGCATATAGTAAAAATATGGCAATGATATTACAGGCTGGATACTTAGTGAAACTTTCTTAGGTCAGGTTTTAATCTCTGTCCAAATTATAGCCTTAACAAAAACCACCTTCGGTAGGCAAAGTTACAGAATTTTTAAAGTAGAAGAAACAAAGGAAGCAAGAAATAGAGAAAAAAGAGAGGAAGGAAGGGAAAGAGGGAGGGAGAGAAAGGAAAAGAAAAAGGAGGGAAGGGAAAGAAGAAAGAAGGGGGGGAGGAAAGAAAAGACAGGGAGGAATTAAGGGCAATGATTGTCCTAAATCATTTTATTAGAAAGTGATACATCTCAGCTTGGTAAGGATGTATTTTTTTTTTTTTTTTAAGATTTTGTTTATTCATTTGAGACACAGAGATACACACAGAGAGAGAGAGAGAGAGAGCATGAGCAGGGGGAGAGGCAGAGGGAGAAGCAGGCTTCCCACTGAGCAGGGAGTCTGATGTGGGGCTTGATCCCAGAACCCTGGGATCATGACCTGAGCCGAAGGCAGATGCTTAACCATCTGAGCCACCCAGGCGCCCTGGATGTGCTTTTCTTTATAAAGAAATGCTCTTCAAGGGAAAAAAAAAAAAATGATTGTATATTTTCCTATACTCAATAGATAAAATGAAGGGCTCATCACTATTCTTCCAACAATGAACCATGAAAATGTGTCTGAAGTTAAATATGCACTTTTCATCTTCCCTTTTCTGAGCTAAACAATTCCCACAGTCTTTGCTAGAAGACTCCCAGCCACTGCAGAGTTTCTGTTGATCTCTTCTGGACCCAGGCCATTTTCCTTGCACTTACGTTCTGGATACCTAAAGTGAGTCCCCTCTACTATATCAAGGCATGCCCAATTTTGAAAATATGAGTAAAATTAACTCACATTACCATAAGGCACAATTTTTTAAAACACCCTTGTAGGAAGTTTGGTTGCAGATTTATTTATTGATTGACTTTTCAACTCAGTCCCCATGCCTCTGCATACCACCAAATTACTCTGTCAACCCCAGGAAAGCCCAACCTAATCCCACCTTTACCTCTAAGGTGATTATTGTAACCTACCTATACTGTTGAAGGTAAAATATACAAAGATATGAAGCTGTTTCTCAGTGTACAACATAAAGCACTCTTATCATTGCTAGTGATAAGCTCCCAGCATCTTGCTCTTGTCTAATTAAACTGTCATTTTCTTTCTTCTGAAACTCAAAAAGGTCATTTAAATTACAATCAAGTTCTTCCAGGTGCTAGCTTCACTACTCAATTTGGCATAATTGGAAAATTTATCAAGCTTGCCCTATCCCATCATCCATAATATTAATGAAAATATTAATTAGAGCCAATCCCAGGATCAGCCCCTGAGAAAACGCACTGAACCTTCCCAGGTGTAATGAAGATCGAACAACCATCTCCGTGGGCATCCCTCGACCAGTATGACAGATTTCCATTTCCTTAGTCAAGACAGTAAAATATTAAGTGGCATTTTGAGGAAATGCTAGTAAGTGAAACATAAAAGGTCTACTTTTTCTCGTGCAAGAAAAACTGTCTACATACATAATTGATTTTGATGCTTATAAACTCATTGGTGTAAAAAACTTTCCCCTGAGCTGTACTTAATTCTGCTTAATTTCCACACCTCTTTACTAGTCCTTGATCCTGGTAACAGCATTCCTGCCATCCCTTGACATGTTCTCTTTTCAGCTATTAGTTTTTTTTTTTTCTGATTCTGTCTCTGCAAATTTTCTTTAATACAAAAAATATGACCGTAAATAATTGTCTCTCCTCCTCCTTCCTCCCCACGATGCCTTCTTGTCTGTCTGATGTAAAAATATTATTAAATCCCTAGCATTTCTGGTTTCTTGTATGACATCATTTTTCTCTCCTTCTTCAGTTCTTTTGTTCAATGACCTCAATACTATTCTGTGGGGAATTACCTCGTTGTTAGCAAATACAAGGAGCCTTTAAGAATTTTCAAGTATCACACCAGAAACACTGAATTAATAAGCTATATAAAAGGAAGAATATAAAAAACTGAAAAAATCATTTGGGCTTTTATACTTCCTTGTGTTTTTTATCTTTTTCATTATATTAAAATCTGAGCCTTAACTCAATGAACCCACCTCCAAGCCTGAAACTGTCTTTTTTTTTTCTTAGAAGCTCCATTAGTGAACCAACAGATAGTAAGGAAATGCCACCCCCAGCCCAGCCCCCCTAAATTTCAAATACTTAAAATTAAATATTATCTCCAACTGTCAAGTTCTTGATAGCTCTGAAATGGGGAAACACGTTTTGTTTAGCAGGACCGACAAGTTCAGTGATAAAAATAACAAGTGATGTCTGTTTTCTTTTCTCAAAGGAATAGAATATGTATGCAGAGCATAAATAATAAAAAGGTAGTAAAACAGTTTGGGAACAACCATGGCCCAGTTACAAGAAAAATCATTATGGCCCATGTTCAAGACTCTATTCTTTCTTTAATAAGCACATATAAATCACATTGACAGTAATGGCAGATATGCTTGCTCGTGAGGGAGAATTAGCACGTAAAAGCCATTATCCATTGACTAGGAAGATATTAACTGCTGCCTTCTAAACATTCTTTTTTTCCCCCTCAGAATTTACTCCAGAGTTTAATCCCCTGGCAGTAATTGTAGCCACCTCTACCATTAGACACATATATTGATTATGAAAAAATAAAGGACATTAAAGGAGATTTTTTTAAGGTTCTAAGCATTTAAAAATGTAGTGTCTTCTCCAGAGGTGGAGTGAAAAGAGAATCTCAAGTTAGCAAAATACCTCTGATCAAAGGGTATGGGAATCCCAGATTGACAATCTCCAACGAGAAACAACCACTGGACAGTGTGTCTGCACAGAAATCTTACCATGTAAATCAAATCTTTATACCCAAGCAGATAACACTATCACCTATTGTATGTTTAGTCTTGCTCAGAGTCGGGCTAAATTTCGGCTGCAGAACAAAATAACCCCCAGCCCTACATCAACTTGTTAATTCACTTAAAGTTATTGAGTGTGTGGTGTGTATATGTATGTGTGTCAGGTGTTGTTAGGTAATGAAGAAATAGTATAGTGAGGAGCAGACTTGGCTCCTGTATTCATAAAACTCATGGATTATTGGGGAAAGGCATACAAAAAGAGGTAAGGAAATAATAAAATATATAATGCAAAATTTAAAAAAAAAACTTGCAATGAATTTGATAATCAGGGAGTTGTGTCAGTAAGTATGGAATGGGGGGCCTGAGTTAATATTTAAGTTAAATTTGAAGGATTAAAAAGAAAGACATGCTGAGAACTGGACAAGCAAAATGGGGAGGTGGATTCCAGGAAGGGGAAACAGATGAACACAGGCTGAGGTGAAAAAAAGCTAGATAGTGTGGCTGGAGACTCAGGATAAGTGAAATTAGTGGCTCATGGGAAATGGGAAGGAAAGTCACGGGCCAGATAATCATGCACAGCACCTCCTGATTACATTCGTCGGCACCAGAGGGTTTTAGGCAGGCAAAAGCCACAAATCAGAGGGAGAAAGAGAAAAAAAGAGAGAGAGGGAGAGAGAGAGAGAGTGTGTGTGTGTGTCTCAATCTCTCTGATGTATGTATAGTAAATTGGAGACAATTTGAAGTAGGATAGTTATAGCAGAAATGGAAAAAAAAGACATGAAATGAGATAATTTTGCAGATATAATCTGCAGGATTTATCAATAATCTATAGATGATGGAGAGGAGGGAAATTGTAAGTGGAAAGAGTTAGGGGGTCCCCAGCAAAAGAAAAATGAGACACAGCTTTCATGACACTAGAGAGAAGTCATTTTAGCTCTATTTGTCCAAACACACTCTCAGCAGAAATTCCTAGGAGGTGTAAGAATTTCAAAGAAATGCAAAAGCGTCCATAGTTAAGGATATCAAGGGGAAAAAAAAGGAATGCAAAAACTAATGGTCTCTACCAGGCCTGGAAATAGCCTAACCATATCAGAGACAATAAATCAGTGGTAAAAACTTGCAGTGCTGTTTCAAAAGTAAGCAAGACCCTGCATTCCTTACCTGAGATAAAGGCCCAAGACGCTATCCAGTTTATACCGATTCTGGAGCCTACCCAGAGCCCCTTCCCTTGTCCAACAGTTACCTCTGCTTCATTATAATGTTACAGTCTCCGCCCAGGGAGGAGCACAAGCTTCATTACCATAATTTACCATGCAGGTATAGGTATGCTTTCTAAGTACACCTGAGCAAGCCTTTACCTGGGACGACAAAGTTCTCCTTTTGGAATATGCTTCCTAACCCTAAAAAAAAAGAACACCTCTCCTTGTGTAGGGAGTCACAGGCTTGGAAATTGTTCCTCGTCATCTCCTTATTTGCTGCAAATACAGTTTGCTTTGTGGGACAACTCCACCTGGTGTCGTCACCATCTGTAAGTCTCCAAGGAGTAAACTCAGGTTAGCTCCATTACAGGGTGATGATGCCCAGCCTGCTGACTTGAGTAACTGCACGTATGCTAAATGTTGTTCAACAAAAGACACACTAACATACACACATGTATAAAACACATAGTTCAGAATTTTTAGAGAGACTAAGTGATGAGTTGAAACCCAAGAAATCCCTACTTAGGGATCCCATATAGCCTGTAGAACCCTTTTCTGTCCAAGGCCTAGGGAATCCCTTCCTTAAGTTTCTTTCATGTTTCATGACCCTAGGTGAGATGCAGACATTCCCAAGAATGAATGGCCTGTGTATGCACTGTGCTGTGTTTTAACACAGGCTTAAAAGTACATTTAACTCTAATTTTTTTTTTAAAGATTTTATTTATTTATTTGAGACAGAGAGAATGAGAGAGAGAGCACATGAG